GGGGGGGGGGCGGGAAACATTGAAACAACACATGTGGAACCCTTACCCCCCCCAGCCCCAAATTCGGGTCTTCGGGTTGGGTTGGGGTGGTCTGGTAGGTAGTCACTTTGAGGCGGATTGGCAATTAAGTTCACACTTAAATTCTTTTTGTTTTATGGTTTACAATGGATTCCCTTTTGTTGGTGCGCCACAAAAGGCATTGCATTGAGAGCTGGAAGAAGCTGAACAATTAGGACACACAAAACAAAAAAAACAGACAAACACCGAAACCCTCCAATAATTTCTTTTGTATTGGTATTACAAGTCAATTCCTATGTGGCTGGTTTACAAAAAGGATTCCCTTTTGCGGGGTGGTTTTCGATGTAATTCCTTTTGTGGTGGGTTTACACAGGGATTCCCTCTGCGAGGCGATTTTCAATTTAATTCCTTTTGTGGCGGGTTTACCATTAATTTTCCTTTGCGAGGGGTTTAAATTTCAATTCCTTTTGAGGCGGATTTGCAATTGAATTCCTTTTGCGGTGGCTTTACAATTCAATTCCTTTTGATTTCGGTTTGCAATTGATTTCCTTTTGTTGGTGCGCCACAAAAAGAATTTGATTGAGAGCTTGAACAATTTCAAAAAGACGGAAGAAGTTAACCAGTGGGGCCCCATCATTCCAATAATTTTTTGTGTGTACAACAAATGGTATTAAAATTCAATTTCTTTGTGGCTGGTTGGCACAAGGATTCCTTGTGTGAGGCGAGTTTCGCTTAAATTTCTTGTGTGGCGGGTTTACAAAAAGGGCAGCCTTGTGCGAGGTGAGTTTCACTCAGATTCCTTCTGTGGCGGGCTTACAATTAATTGCCCGGTGTGAGGGTTTTACAAGTCAAGTAATTCCTTTGGGGGCGGATTTGCAATTGTCTCGTGTGGTGGTTTTTCAGTTAAATTCATTTTGATTTCGGTGTACAATTGATGTCCTTTTGTTGGTGCGCCACAAAAGGAAGTCGATTGAGAGCTGGAGGAAATTGAAACAACTGAAGAAATTGAAAAAGAACTGAAATGGCCCAAAACCGTCCAAGAGTTTTCAGTATATTAGCATTTCAATTAAATTCCTTTTTGGCAAGATTTCGCAAGGATTCACTGTGTGAGGTGATGTTCCATTCGATTCTTTTTGTGGCGGTTTTGCAAAAATATATCCTTTTGTGAGGTGATTGTCAATTAAATTCCTTATGTGGCGGGGTTTTTCTTTGTGAGGTTTACAATTCAATTCCTTTTGTTTTGGGCTTGCACCAGAATTCTTCTTGAGGCGGATTTAAACTTAAATTCCTGTTGTGGCGGCTTTACAAGTTATTTCTTTTTGTTGGTGCGCCACAGCAAGAATTCGATTGAGAGCTGGAAGCAATGGAAAAAACGGAAAATGGAAATAACTTCGAACCTGAAACAATTGAAATGGCCTGGACGTTCCAAGTTGTTTCTTTGTAGTTGTATTACAATTGAATTCTTTTGTGGCGGGTTTACAAAAGGATTCCTTTAATGAGGTGGTTTCCAATTAAATTTCTTGTGGCGGGTTTACAAAAGGATTATGTTTGTGAGGTGATTTTCAATCAAATTCCTTGTGTGGCGGATTTTCCATTAGCTTCACGTTGCGAGAAGTTTACACTTCAATTCCTTTTGTTTTGATCTTACAATAGAATTCCTTTGAGGCGGATTTACACTGAAATTCTTTTTGTGTCGGCTTTACAATTGAATTCCTCTTGTTTTGGGTTCGCGATTGGCTTCCTTGTGATGGTGCGCCACAGAAGGAATTCTATTCAAAGCTGTAAGAAATTAAAAAGCTGCTGAAGCCGCCAAGGGTTCGTGGAGTTTATAATGCCCAGAGGCCGCCTCCGTTCGGGGAGGTGGAGCCTTGGGCAGAGCGCCCAGAAACCGCTTCTTTTCGGGGGGGTTGGAGCCTCGGGTGCTGGCCCAGGAATCGCCTACTTTTGGGGGGGTGGAGCTCCAGGTCAAACTGCCCAGAGGCCGCCTCCCTTTGGGGGGGTGGAGCCCCGGGCAGAGCGCCCAGACGCCGCCACCCTGCGGGGGGTTGGAGCCTCGGGTGCTGGCCCAGGAGCCGCCTCCTTTCGGGGGGTGGAGCTCCGGGTCGAACTGCGCAGACGCCGCCTCCCTTCGGGGGGGTGGAGCCTCGGGCAGAGCGCTCAGAGGCCGCCTCCCTTTGGTAAGGTGGAGCCTCGGGTGCTGGCCCAGGAGCCGCTTCCCTTCGGGGGGGTGGAGCTCCGGGTCGAACTGCCCAGAGGCCGCTTCCCTTCGGGGAAGTGGAGCTTCGGGCACAGCGCCCAGAGGCCGCTTCCTCAGCGGTAGGAGTTGCAGCAGTAGTTGTAATAAGGTGTACCAGCGGGGGCTCCTGAGGCCGGCAGCAGTAGTAGTAGTAGTAGTAGTAGTCGTCGTAGTAGTAGTAGTAGTAGTAGTAGTAGTAGTAGTAGTAGTAGTAGTAGTAGTAGTAGTAGTAGTAGTAGTAGTAGT